GGGGAGGGAGGGAGGGAGGCTGAGAACGCGCAATCGCATATCTTCTTTATAAATCACATTGGAGAGATTAATTGGGGAAAGGAGGTGATATCGATCAATGGAGAAAACGATAAAGAAGTTCCATGTGAATTTCGAGTGTCTGCATGTTTTAGGTCCACTGTAATCTGCGGTAAAGGGTAATTAAATAAGAGCCTCTTCTAAAACATCCGAGGCGGATTTCTGATGAACTATGGAGGCTCTTTGGGGAGGTGGGGGAGGTAGATCTTCACTATGAAGCGTTCCTTCACTGGGTGGATGTCCAGATGAGGAGAGATTCGAGGAATATGCCTGATGGAATAGACTGAGCAAATCTATAGGCAAGGGGAAGATAATGGTCGAGTTCTTTTCATCAGAAATGCTTGAGAGGGTTTGTAGATAGCGCAGTTGAAGGGCAATGGGACATTCACCAATCTCCATAGCTGCAGCCTTTAAGGCTACTGAAGCTCTTTGTTCACCTTCCGCTGCAATGACTTTGGCTTTAGCTTCTCTCGCAGCTTCGGCTTCTGCGGCCATAGCTCTCTGGAGTTGGATTGGTAGACGAACGTCTTTAATATCTACACGTTCGACTTTCACACCCCAGGTCTCCGTGGCAGTATCCAAACAGTCTTGCATTAGATGGGCAATCTGTTCTCTTGCCGTCAACAATTGATATAAATCAACGGTACCAAGGACATTCCTCAATGTAGTCTGAGCCAGTAGCCGAGTTGATCTATTAGCATCCTCCACATTGACAACAGACATGACGGGGTCAAATATCCTATAGTAAACAACAGCGTCCACAGCAACTGTCACAGAATCCTTGGTCAGCACTTCTTGTGTAGGAACATTGAAGGTAAATGTACGTAGGTCAATGGTCTTGACATTATCAAGACATGGTAAAATAAACACTAAACCTGGTCCCTTTGGAATCTCTGAGACAAGACGACCTAGACGAAACACAACTGCTCGTTCGTATTGAGCAATGACCTTCAAACACATGACTAATGAAAAGGGAAGGGTGATGAGCACGGCAAAATAGGCCAGGATACGGATAGCGGCCTCGCAGCCAAACATACCCTTATTTCCCTGGCGCTGTTTATAAGCATTACTCATAGTTCCACCGCTGCTATTGTTATTTCCTTTGCCACCTAGGCGTTCGGGCACAAGAGAGAAGCCCCTGGCGAGTTGAGGCATTTGGGGTACCCGTAATTGAGCCCCCTCACCGCCTCCTCCATCGCCATTTCCATCCCCTGCCCCGCCTCCCCTATTGGCAGGGTCAGAGGCAAACGACACAGAGGGCATGGCGGAGTCTTTGAAGAGCTCTTCTCCTTCTAATTCCTCTTCTGTTGATAGTGGTATGTAAGGTGGTGCACTGGGTTCAACCTCTACGTAGGGTGGAGGGGGAGAGTGCTGCGGCAACCGAGGCGTCTTTGTGTGATTGGGAGGCCGCTGGCGATTATAAGTAGCCGACGTTTGTTGTTGGTTGGTGTAGTGATTGGACTTAACTACGGCTACGTTGCTGGATCGAATCAGCCTGATGCCGTGTTGAAGCCTGTGCCGTGGTGCTGGTTTAGCCCAAACTTAAATCCGAGACAGTTAGAAACACACCGTATGCATATTATCCCCAGTGAGAATTATACCTCAGGCTGTACGTACACGACAACGTAGTGACTGAACACAGTGTATGAACGCATATGACAGCACGCGCGTGCGAGGATGCACACACACCTCCGCAAATGCGTTTTGTGACCAACCATACAGATGGAGTAGAGGAATTTGTGGACAGACAGACGCCCTATCGATTTACCGCTACTGCGAGAACCAATCAAATCATGATCTCATGCCCCATCGTTAGTGCACGCAGCAAACTGGGATGTTTTGGTTAGATGGTTGATTCAAGGCAAAAAGCATCCTGCCTAATGAACGTAGCTTTCTACTCTGTGTACATTTTATTGCCTTTACTTGGGTCACCCTACTCCCCAGATAAGCACTTTTTTTAACTATCCATCATATAACTGACGCGGTGTTTTAAGCCTTTATTGCACCTTTTATCCTTTCCGTTGGGGGACAAGAGTCCTTCTAAATGTGGCTGCGGTGAATCACCGAGTTAAAATCGATTTAGCATAGCAACAACTAATCTTAATTGATGCGCGCACATTAATGTGCACCAACCCAAAAAGATAGCAGTTTATGGAATATCAAATTTTTCACTTACATGCACGCACTCACATATACTTCGAAAGCAGACGTGGGAAATGAGAGAACACGTTATTTGGTGAGTTAAATTTGGGGCTTATTTGATGTCGAAGTATGTAGAGGAAGTGACCATATTAATAAAAGTTTAATTGGGAAGCGATTTGGTTATCTATTTACTTTGTTGCAGGTCGATCTGCGATGATGATGATAGAAAACTGATTTGAATTGTTGAACTCATAAAATTCCACGGGGAAAGAAGTGGAAAACGCATTCATACAACTTTCTCTTAAACAAAACTGATATCAAATGGCCGGCGTTTTGATGGCTATCATTAGCCCTTTAGTTGACTTCAAGCTTCATAGAGGGAGAGGAACATCAAAGCGAAAAAAGTCGAGAGGGGGGGGGAGGAACAGAAGAGTGTTTTAAAGATGTAAAAGAGACAGACACAAAGGTAGAGAAGGAGTGAGATAAGCACTGTGGAAGTGGTCGAGTGTGACACAGTCGGGTCATGGTAGTTTGGAGTCAGAAGTCAACTGCCGGTTAATAGACTCTTTGCCGTGTGCGTATACGTTGTCCAGGGTGCACCACGTGGAGGTAAGTCTATCGCACACCCCTCTTAAACAAAATTAAATGTCCTAAAATGTGAAGTGGAGTGATAAAAAGTCAATTTTGCATCCAATCAAATTTAATGCTTTCTAGCGGCTAGAGATGGTTAATATTAGATAGAAGGCATTTATTTCATGGAAGTTGTACTAGTGGTGTCAGTAAACTAGGCACTTTAATGATTTTTAACATAATTAGTCTACCTTTTATTTCCAAGGGACTAAAAAGTGCCAATCACATCTTAATATACACAGTAAAAATTAATAGATATGCTACTGAAACATGGACCATCGATAAATAGATTTAACAAGGAGGGGTAAATCACATTGGAACAGTGTGTGGACTTAATAAGTCAGTAACCTTTGGTGAATTCCACAACAATTTAGTTCAAACCGACTCTTCAATAATCATATATATTTTGAATCGTTTTACTCTCAATACTGAAGCGTATTTTACTTCCAAATTGCGCGGGGTGTGCGATAGACTTACCTCCACGTGGTGCACCCTGGGAAACGTATACTCATACGGCAAAATAGTCTATTAACCGGTAGTTGACCTCTGACTTCAAACTATACCATGACCCCACTGTATGTCGTATTCCACCACTTTAACAGTACTCATCTTACCTTTTCTCTGCTCTTTTGTCTGTCTCTGTCACATCTGTGAATCATTATTCTGTCCCTCCTCTCGACTTGTTGTCATTTTGATGTTCCTCCTCCTCTCTGTGAAGCCTGAAGTCAGCTAAATGGCTAATAATAACTATCAAAACGCCTGCCATTTGAAATAAATAAACTTCCAACCGGCGCAACTTCTGTTTTCAACAAAATTCATTTTAACCTGATTGGGTGAGTGACCTGGCTAGGTCATATGGGTTAGATGTCAATTAGGAATCCAATTATAGTGTAGTAGTTCTACATGGATTTTGCTTCCTATTTGTTGAAAATAGTCCTAAATGACTAAATAAGCCGAGTGACGTAGTCTGTTTACATAGAGCACAAATCGCTTGCGCATCCAACTGGGTGCAAAGTTGTGGCCTTTTTTTCATTTTATGGCCCCAAGAGATGCGCTATTGATTTAAGGAATTCAAGTAAAGTAACACTTCTGGTGGATTAGCTGCATTATCCGATCATTATCGATCGCGCTTTCCTGTCATTGGGTCGTTTTCCCATATTCAAGGTTTCGCCGTCCATTGTAAAATAACGTTTAAAAGATATTATCATAAGGGCACCTTATACCCATACGGCAAAAAATGTCCATAAGCCGACAGTTGACTTTAAACTATCACGACTCCGATGCATGTCGCATTCGACCATTTTCACAGTACTCACCTTACCTTACCTTTTCTCTGCCTGCCTGTCTGTCTGCTTGTCTCCTTTACATTTGTGGTTCACCCTTCTGTTCTACCTCTCCACTTTATTGCGACTTTGATGTTCCTCTCCCCTGTGAAACCCGAATTTAACTAAAGGGCTAGTGATAACTATCATAAAGACTGTCATTTGATATAAATTTAATTTTTATACCAGTTGTGCGTGTCATAATGCAAAAATTAATCTCACCAACAGTATGCCATTGAGGCTTGAACTAAATGATGACTTCACTATCACAGGCAAATGCATGCGTCGAAGTGGTCAACTTCCCTTAGAAAAGTCCATCCAAAACGTCTTGACAACTTAGGGTATATCAAGCTGCAACAAAAAGATGAGAAAAAAAAACTTTTCAGGAGTTTTCAACTGAGACAGTTGGAAGTACTTTCAATATAAACTCAAAAGTGAAACCGATTAAATCGGCTTTGCTAAACAAGGAAAAAAGTGTGTCAATGTTGAAAATTATTTGCAATAGTCACTCAAGGAGTCAGATTACAAGGTACAGTTATATATCGACCACCCCCCCCCCCCCCTCTAACCTCCTCACCAGCCTCTCATCTAAAACTAATTTGAGGTAAGATTGCCTAAAGTTATTTATTTATTTCAAATGGCAGGCATTATGATATTTATCATTAGCCCTTAAAATCAAATGCCGAGTGATAGACTTTTTTGACGTACGACGACACGTTGTCCAGGGTGCACCACGTGGAGTTAAGTCTATCGCGCAACCCAGAATGACTAAAGTATCTTTCCATGTTTCACTATCTCTCTCTCTCTCTGCTGAAATTTTCTCATCTGAAAATAGAATAAACGCAGCAGCAACGCAGTTCTCCTGATTCGAGCCAGTTTGTACAGAGTCACATAAAATATATTGCCAAGAATTAGGCATAGTCGTGATCTTATACGCTTTCCATGTTCAAGGTTATGAGTTCGATGTTCATCGCGCGTGAGTCCACTGATGTGGGTGGTCAACGTGTTACTGGTCAGTTCTGATAGACGGACAGTTTCCTCTGTAGTAGCTACGTGAAGCTATTCAAAAGGAAACATTTGGGAATCTTCTTCTAATGGGATCAGGAAGCTATTTTCTTTCTACTGAGAATTCCTAAGTTAAATAAATTATCTGAACTCCAAACCAGCACACACACATTTTATGAAATAATTGTTATGTTTAAATAATGTGCCAGGGGTGTGCGATAGACTTACCTCCTTGTGGTGCACCCTGGGCAACGCATACTCATACGGCAAAAAGTCTATTAAACGGCAGTTGACTTCTGACTTCAAACTACGAGGTCGCGAATGCTTGTCATATTAGGCCCCTTCCACAGTACTTATCTTACCTTTTACTCTACCTTTGTGTCTGCCTGCCTCCTTTACATCTGCGAATCTCTCTTCTGTTCCCCACCCCTCAACTTTCTTCTACTTTGATGGACCCTCCCTCTGTGAAGCCCGAAGTCAGCTAAATGGCTAATGATAGCTATCAAAACGCCAGCCATTTGAAATAAAAAAATAAATAATGTGCCAGTCTAGTACACGAAGACTAAAGTCATTTAGGTAATTTTTATGTCACAAATTCAGATGATTAGCTTTTTCCACTATAGAATAAATTTATGCAATGGTCACATTATAATTGGTTTGTAATTCACAGTCAATACAATGTAGTCTATGAAAACATTTATTTACTTATATCAAATTGCAGGCGTTGTGAAAGTTATCATTAGCCCTTTAGTTGACTTCAGGCTTCACAGAGGAGGGGGAACATCAAAGTGAAACAAGTCGAGAGGGAGAGGGGGAACAGAAGAAAGTTTCAAAGATGCAAAAGAGACAGACACAAAAGTAGAAAAAGGTGAGGTGAGTACCGTGAAAGTAGTCGAATATGACATACAATGGGGTGAGGATAGTTTAAAGTCAGAAGTCAACTGCCGATCAATAAACCTTTTTGTCGTATAAGTATACGTTGCCCAGGGTGCACCACGTGGAGGTAAGTCTATCGCACACCCCAGTCTATGAAAACAACAAAATTGCAAAGTAAATAAATAAACGGCCAAAATGAATAGTCACCTGATATGCCGATAATTCCTACTCATTTCTACTAACCCATTCTAAACCCGAATTCTAAGGATTCGATAATATTTTTTTTTGTCTTATCATTAAGTGAAATTGTGTTTGCATAATTTAGTGCCCAATTAATAGTAAATCGATATTTTTAAGCTGTAGCCAATATGATGTTTGATTTGAAATATTGTCATATTTACTAATTATATATTAATTCAAAGTTGGTAATCACTCTGCCTTGTAAGTTTCTGATCATAAAATCACAATTACTTTGACAAAAGTGATGCTCTCTAAAGAAATGGAATTTCAAATGATGACAAATTATTGATTTTATACGAGATAACTAGGATAGTTTATTGTCTACTTCAAAAAAGGTTATAAGCAGAATTATATTCTTTATAATAAAAATGACCTAAATATACTATCTGTCAGATTGATAAAAGGAAATTTTTTCCCATATAAGATTGCTTTTTTTATTT